AATTAAAGGCAATATAAAGGAAAAATGAAAGGCTGAAACCCATGAAAATCTTAGGAATTGATTGAGACAATTTCTATCTGATGTTCCTGTCTCGAGAAATTGATTTGAAACTGTTTAAAAATTATACCATATTTAAGATTTGTAGAATTAAACAGATCATATTCAACAAATACGCAACCAATCTGAAAACAACGATATCTCAGAGAGTCTGAGAAACTCAAATTTGCTTCTATTATTATTTGAATTTAATAATTATCAATTTTTCATTTTTAATAATTAATACATCGGAAGAAATTATCAAATGTCGTCTTTACAATTTTTCAATGAGTTTTATACTACATAACGTAAATTTCAGTATTTGCGAAAATAAATAAATGGTCATGAATATGCGGGAACAGTTTTAAAGAGTTCCATATAATCATTTAATTAAAAAACTAAATATCTGCAACATTCCATTATCAGAAAGTGAAGAATACGACATTTGATGAATTCTTTCGATGTATTCATTATTAAGGGTTTCACTGTAGATATAATTGATAATATTATTTATGCGTCCGGAACATGTCACCAGAACTCCAACCAATTGCAGTGCAGTATTATTGACATGCGTCTCCATCTGTATCACATGACCACTGACCAGTATACTGCACTGCTATTGAAGGGTGTTCTGGTCACGTCATACGGACGTATATCTTACATATATACGTTTTGGTATAATTTTGACACAGTTTTATGTTCATTTCTAGAGACATGAACATCAGATAGATGTCTAATAGGTATCGTTCAACTCCTGAGAATCTCAGGTTTAATCATACCCTCTTTCATTTTCCTTTACAGTCCCTTTAATTAATGTTAAATGAATTTGAGAATTCTGATTCAATGCTAGTTAACATTAACTGTAGATAAATTAGTAAAGATTTTATAGGGCATGTAATTGAACAAATCTTAAAAGTATAAGACCCCCCCCCCATTAAAAACATCATGCTTCTGTATAATAATTATTTTTAAACAATTATTTAAAATCATTGTTCTCATTTTCATTTTGACATTTATTTGACGGTAATCCTAAAATTCTGATTTAAGAATTTTCGGAATTCATTAAACAAGACAGGATTTTACTGCTATTATTAATTTATGTTTTTAAATGGAATTTTCACAAAAGAACAAAAAAGCTGCCTTAAAAAGGTTTTATCGATAAAAAATGAGAAGAAAAAACCCTAGTAAAGGTCAAATGAATTGAAACGCATATTGATGGATTTCAATAGATCCTACTTTCATACGCTTTTTCATATTTTTATCATCTAATCCATTTAAGACAGCCATTTTAGATTTTTGTGAAAGTATATATTATACCTAGAATGCAAAGTATATAATAAAAATTTTCTTCTATAAAATATTTTAACTTCTAAATAAAAACAGTTGTTTTAAATGTTTAAAGCCCCTAATCCGAAAAATAATTTATATTTTTAGGAAATATATTAATTACATCCTTTATAGTTACGGGCCTGGTTGAGTCTAATGTTGAAACCTCCAAATCACCAAATTGGGTTATTAGTCTTTTATAGCGCTGAGACGTAAGAGATTTAGACTCGAGACTAAGCTTTTAAATCGCAGCCTCAGCATAAAGAGGTACAATAAAAAAGAGTTCGCTGGAATTCTGGCTTTTGGATAGATTTTAGCTTGCTTTTAGCTGAACAGTAAATTCCGGTGTATTTATCAATGTATGTAGCAATTACAATACTTAAGTGTATTTGATGTTGTTACAAAGCAAAAAGTTTTACTAGATGCCTTTATTAAAGTAATAGCTGAACTTAACAGGCCCAACATTTTTGACGCAACTCACATGACCCCAGGGAAGGTTTATGGATGTTGCACAAAGGAATTGAGTCTTTGCCACATACTCTGATTTTCTAATCACTATATCTTTGGAACCAAATGTTGCAGACCTTAGATATTTCAAACTATGAATTCTGTTAGATCAAATATTCTGAGTTTGAAATATCAAATGTTTACAACATCTGGTTCTAAAGATTTTAAATATTTGATTTTGTTCCAAAGACTCAATTCCTTTGTCACCAAACTATTTTCATTTTCGTAAGATTTTGAAAAATCCCCAAAAAATATTAAAAAATCTGCGAACTTTTTGTAAAAGATGTATTCCACTTCCAGTGAAACATTCTTTAGAATAATCCTAATATTGTAATCTCAAAAAGAAAGGTATCCGATTCGTTAATCATTTTTCTTCTATGATTTAGCTGAAATTGTCCAGGCAAGTGTCCAACAAATCAGACAAGTGTTTTGGAAATATTTGCAATAGAGGTATTTTTTATTGTTTCCAAAACCATACATGAAAATTAAATGCAAACATATTTCACAAGCTGTTTTTTATCTCTAATTCTCATGAAAAAGGACACGTTTGTTGTTCAGTTAATGAAAAAAAGAAAAAAGTTTTAATTCTAGTGAAATCTGCGTTAGAAATAACACAAAAAATCGGAGACTGCCTTGGAAATTCTACTTTCCAAAACCTAACATGAAAAATATGAAAAATATGAAAAATAAATGCCAAAATAAAACTTTAATGAATTTAGTAATGTTTCTGAGCTAGGAACTCTTCTATTGTGAATATCAAGATCAATGCTTGAAGCATCTCGATCTTTTGGCAATCTACAGATTAATCTTATCTTATCGTTATCCTGCATAGTAATAAACCATGGATTCTCAAATATAAAAGTGCCCACATTGGATATCAAGATCAAACGATAGGGATTATAAATAATATATCCAACACAAGAGTTTTAATTTATTATAGTTGTAAAATCATTTCTTAAAGTATTTTATCCTATCGTAATCTTTATACTAAACTTCAAAATATTGATTATTCTCTTTCAATACAGTGGTTCTCAAAAAACATCTATTCCTTTGCCCAATCTTTTCAATCACTCTAACTACCAATATAACAAACCCTTATTTTCATCCTAGCTCTCATTGATTCCTAATACCAAATCTTCCAATCCCAAATTTCTCTACAGCTGATTTCCATCCCAATCCCAACTTCCTCTTTAGTTGATATCCTTTCCAATTCCCAACCTTTTTTACCTACTCCCAATTGGTTCTATCTCAATCATATAACTTATTCCCAAACCAAGCCTAATCCCAATATCTTGAACATTAGTTGATAATCGTTTGGGATCCCAATAGTTTGGATTTTACGTAAAAGTTACGACACTATAAACTTTTTATATCATGCTTCATTTATGACAAATGACAATGGACAAGAAAATATGAATTTTAGAAGTATAAGAAAGAAAAAAGCCTTTGCAAAAAAACCAGCCTGTGTGCATATTTTGCGCAGTATTATGCTGCCTAGCTAAAGGGGTGTTTAGATCCCTTGAAACAAAAGTTATTAATAAGTTTTCATGTTTTCACTTTTATATCTTTTTAAAGCCTAAAAGTGTTCATATTGTCAAATATTACTATCTTTAAATTTGCCCTGAATTTGGCAATCTACAAAAAGCAGGCTAGACACAGTCGCTAAAGAACCAGTAAAGAGGAAGGATGCAAGATGTAACTCCTACAAAGAAGAAATGAACTGTTCGACCCGCGTACCACCCTCGCGGTCAAAGCGAGAGCAAAGAACCCTAAATTCTTTATGTGACACATCTGATCAATATACTTCTTTAATTTGCAACCACATCGATTCATTAGAGAGAGAGAACATCATATTGCTGGTTAACTCAACTTCCAAATACTTCCTCTCCAATTTATCTCTTGTTCTGAGACAAATTATTAATATTTAAATTTATCTTAGCAAAAACCCGAGTTGGCATCAGCACGGGGGGGGGGGGGTTAAAAAAAATTTAAAAATCTATTTCACTATGTTTTATTCAAGAATTTTTTAAAAAATCTACCAAGAATGTACAGGGTGTCTCAAAAAAGATGGGAATTCAGTGACGAATTGGGTATCGTCCTTGTTATGAATTAGCATTGTTACCTAATTTCAAAAGCCATAGTATTGTTATGTCTGCTAGAGATTATTTTATGAAAAAGGTAAAAGACTGTAAAGATGTGCCTATAATGTCTCCGCAAGATGAACAGTGAAGACGGACAAGTTTACTCTGTTTGTAAATTGCAATGTTGTAATATTGTAAAGAAAATTAAAATAATTCCTCTGGTTCCTAGAAGAAACGAAATGTCCCGAACTGACGATAAAGATAAAAAATATATTTAGGTCGATTTTAAATATATTTTAGTTCGGTTACGATTATATTTTAGGTCGGTTGCGCAACAATTTTAGGTCAGTTGGGAATACTCCTTAGGTCGGTAAAGCAACAATTTAAGGTAGGATAATATTATTTTTAGGTCGGTTGAATTATATTTTTAGGTAGGATGAGCAATCATTATCTGTCAAGAAAAAAGGTTTACGATACTTTTCAACTTATCAACTTTATTACCAACTAGAACTAAGGAGCGGGGGACGGCGGGCGGCAATGAGCCACCACTATTTCCTCTTCCGGGCCAAATATTATTTTTTTCTCTTCCGGCAGCCATGAGCCACCACTATTTCCTCTTCCGTACCACCACATTTGACTCATGGCCGCCTGCCTTCCCCCACTTGCAACCTTTGGATCACATGATACACACATAAACATATTACCATATTTTCCAGGATCTGCTCTATAAATCCCACATCATATTAGATCGTCAATGGATCTCAATTTCGATTGTCAGGACTTATCAGAAAATTAAAGAAGAATGAATCATTTTAAAAAGTTGAATATAAGGCGAGTATTAATATTGTTTTGCAGAAAATACTAGGTTTTTCGAGTATTATTGTGTTTATTTTTTTGTCGTTAAAGCTTGGAGATAGTCTAATATGATATGGGACGCTCTGTAGATTACCGATATAAGATTGCTTCCTTGTTCTAAAAATGCAAGAAAATAACTTTTCATCTATTTAAATTTTCAAAAACTCCATTTTTAAGAACTTTCTAATCAACGAGTTACAGTTTTGTAAAAATTTTTATTTTGGTTTAAAAAAATCACAGATCTGTTATAAAATTCACAATAAATTTTCTTAGATTCAAATATGCTTTTTCTACAATTTCACAAAAAGTCTCAGTCCCTCTCAAGATCTGAAAAAAGAAACAAAATCTATAAATCTATTTTTATGCTAGTGAATAATTTACTATAAAAAACATGCATTATTTCAGTGCATTGCATCCGCAACAAAAAACTTGGGTCCAGGATCCACATGTATAATATGCATTTATAATATAGAATGGCCTGAAAAATGAACTCCTACTTGAATAAGTAGAACTACATGAACTTCTACTTGTAGATGTTAGAACTACCTAAACTTCTACTTGAAGAAGTAGAACTATCTGAACTACTACCTGTAGATGTAGAACTACCTAGTACCTAAACTCCTACCTGTAAATGTAGAACTACCTGAACTCCTACCTGTAGAATTAGAACTACCTACACTCCAAACTGTAGATGTAGAACTACCTGAACTGCTACTTGTAGATGTTTAACTGCCTGAAGTTGAACGCCTACTTGAAGAAGAAATACCTGAACTACCTGAACATGAAGAATAAGAACTATCTGAACTACATGTATGGTCGGCATGATTGAATTCTGTCTTGGAGAATATTCTTCTATTAGTGTAGCAGTAGTAGATAGGTTTCATTCATTAATATCATAAATATTAAATTCTAAATAAAAACCATTAAATTCGTTTTTTCTTGAATATTAATATAGAAAAGTTTTTATTAACTTAAAACAACTTGAAATCATTTTATTGAGTTACTCCTATATATTTAGAAAAACAGTTTTTTTAAAATAAGGCCTACAGGGTTACCCCCAAAGAATAAGACTTTGAAAACGACCCACTCATTGGATAATGAAGACTTTTAGTTATTTTGTTATTGCAGTCTGCAGAGGAAATTCAATCATAGGTTTTTTTAAAAAGTCGTTTTTGATTTGATTCTGGATAATGGTTTTTAGATATTGTGAATCCTTGCTGGAACTTAGGTTAGAGGTCAAAACTTTAGTGTTAAAACTTAATCTTGGGATTTGGCTTTAAGCTATATTTCATTCAATTCTTCTTGGATATCCCGAATTGATCGTAGCCTACAGGGATAACTAAGATATATTGATTTTGCACTTATCTTTCAAGTTAAAAGTTGTCACAGTGGATATCAAGATCAACCGTTGTAGATTGGTACATTTGCATACAAGTTTTGTCTACAAGGTTCTTAACTCTCTTTTATCTCAACATTGCCTATTTAATTGTTTCACTTTTCAGCTTAAGAGACAGAATTTTTTGCCCCAAACTCTGATTTCTAATCAAAATATCTTTGCGACCAGTTTTCGTAGACCTTTGATATTTCTAACTATGAGTTCTGAGCTGAAAACTTTAGAATGGTGGATATCGAGATTAATGCATGATCCTCTCTTTTTCTTAATATCAAGACTAATCTAATCCTGAGGGGGCTCATGGCCGCATAACTCCCCCCCCCACCCAACCAGCCACCTCCCTCTCCTTACACACATGGAGAATTTATGATAAAAGCATTTTCAAAAAAATGAAAGTGTTCATTATATTTTTGTCTACCTGGACTAGAAGATGTTTGAACCTTGATATTATGTCCTGACAGATGTAATGCACCTCCAGACTCTCTAAATATACATTCTTTATATGTAAAATCTATTTTATTTCAGTTTTTAACTTCACATTTTTATTAAAAAAATAATTATACTAAACATAATGTTTCACGTCTATCATGACGATCCTCAGTAGCTACAATTCTTTGAACAAATCTATTTTATATCATTTATATCATATCCTATTATCATTTTAAATTCGTCTTTATCTATAACCTTATTTTATTCATTCACATTAACGTATTATTATTTTAATTGAAAATTAATCGAAAGACGACATTTTATTTTTATGTTCGTTAATGCGCTTACAGGGCCTGGGCGAGAGGAGGAAGGCCAACCACATCAATCTCTAGTCCGAACCACATTCTCCTCATATTCTCGTCCGAACCACCTTGAAATCCTCGTCCTTTCGATATTATTTTTTTTAAGTGTCCGATCCTTGAAAATAAATACATTTCTTAAAAATATGGCGACGTTAGGGCATAAAACATGACTAGAATAAAGTTTTCCAAGGATTTTGAGATGTTGGAATCTTCAAATCCACGAGAATGATGTCAAACATTATTTAAGTAAAAATTAAATCTCTTCTGCCTCCATAATGGCTAACCTTCGTGATATAAAATAAATAGATAAATATTCGGCATACCTCTGCCCATAATTTTCCCCATGGAACCACCCGGAAAAATTCTATAGTTCTCACTAAAGTTAACAAAAAAGATTAAAATTCTATAAACTTGGAATTATTTGCGGCATTCTACACCAGGAATATCTGAAAATGCGCGTAAAAAAGGTGTACATTTTTAAGGACATTAAACTTGAAATCTTTAATTCAATTGAAACTTTTTACTTTGATTTACAAAAATTTGATATTTCATTTATGCCCTAACGTGGCTTGATTCTTAAAAAATGGTTTTATATGGAAGGATTAGACACTTAAAAAAATAATATTGAAAGGACGAGGATTTTGAGGTGGTTCGGACGAGAAAATTAGGAGAATGTGGTTCGGACTAGAGATTGATGTGGTTGGCCTTCCTCCCCTCCCTGGGCACTGAAGTGAAGTAAGCAAGTAAGACATTTTGCAATATCTCTTTCAATATTAATAGCAGCCGGTTCTATTTTTGAAAGCAGACTCATATAATTTGTTCGGAGCAGGATATGAAGTCAGATTGTCAATATCTCTTTCCAGAGTCTTGGAACCTCTGAAAAGTGACCTCCGTCGGCTCCGATTTTTTATCTCCAGCCTCGTTGGACATAAATAGTCCATTTTTTAAATTTATACTCCCAATGACCCCTAAAATACACAATTTTTTTTTTCAATAAAGTTTTTGATGTCATAACAGGGTGTCAAAAAATGCGTTTTTAAAATTTTTTTTTAATTGCAAAAAATGACAAGTTCTGATAAAAAATGTCGGAGTAAAAGAAAAGATATTATTTAAATTATTATCTAACACATTGATGAAAAAAAAATAAATTTCAAAAAATTAATTTTTTCCTGGGCTACGGGGTGTTTAAATTTTTTTTTGGACAAATCACCCTTTTTAGGCATTTTCCTCCCTTTTATAGATGGTGGCTGGTTCTAATTTTAAAAATAATGTTATATAATTACCTAGGAGCAGGATATGATGTCAAATTACCAATATCTCTTTCCGGAGATTTTGAACCTCTGAAAAGTGACCTCCGTCGGCTCCAATTTTGTATCTCCGGCCTCGTTGGACAAAAATAGCCAATTTAAAAAAAAATACTCCCAATAGCCCATAAAATGAATGAAAAAAAATATCCAAGTTTTTGATTTTAAAACAGGGTGCCGAAAAGTGCTTTTTTCGATACTTTTAAAAATGAAGAAATCAACTTTTTACATTATATTTTCCTTCCCTTTATAGATGGTGGCCGGTTCTAATTACCTAGGAGCAGGGTATGAAGTCAGATTACGGATATCTCTTCTCGGAGACTTTAAACCTCTGTAGAAAGCCTCCGATTTTCTTTCTTCAATCTTGAAATAAATCCTGAAATACAATTTTAAAATGTAGAAGACAGATTATTTAAGTTTTTTTCGTCTATGTCAATAAGAAACATTTTAGGAAAATAAAAGAGTAAACAATATTTATAGTTATTATCTAAAACATTAGTGAAGCAAATATAATTTCCATAAAAAAACTTGTGAACTTCAGGCTGTTCATTTATTTACTAATCTTTTTTCTTCGTTGTCTTCCCTTTATAGAAGGGGGGCCGGTGGCTAACTATTGTTCCTGTTCTACTGATCACATATCCGGAGAGAAAGTTTTAAATCAGGTAAAAACCATGTGACTTTACGAAGTTATGTACTGTTCAATAGTACTGCAATTGTACGCATGTAAAAAGACTTTTACACGGAAAGATAATTTAAAAAGACACGAAGAGAAATGTAAAGTGGTTTTTAAATGTGAAGAATGTGATTTTGAAACCCTGTATAATAACAGCTATAAGCGACATGGTAAGATCAGGGGAAATATGTTCAAGCAAGTACATACATAGACCTGAAAATTATTCATTATCAGGATTTGTTTTATTAAAGCACGGCTCAAAACGGCTTTACGATGGTATACATTTTTTTCATAATTACCCCACACCAAACAACCTATTTTCATTTTTATCTTTGATGGTAATTATTTTTCAAATAAACATATATATACACCTCTTTCCCCTATTCTGGGGGAAAATGTAATTCTTACTAAAATAAGTCCCAGTCTATCGTAATATTTATATTAACTATTCATAAAGTTGATAGGTGCCATGAGGATTCTGGTGTCGAAAACACCCCTGTAAAGCGTAGTAGAGTCACCAATAATAATGTTCTTTTCTCCACTTAGACAGTTTATAATATCGCAGAGTTTCTCAGTATTCTGCTTGCTGGAGTTAGGGGATCTATATATCACTGTAAATGTTAAAGTCTCAGAAGCATTGTTGGAAATTAATTTAAATTGACAAAATTGGTTAAAATCACTGTTATTGTCGAGACATAAAACTTTAAGTCCGGTTCTCAAGTAAACTAAAATTCCTCCACCAATTCCATTGGCAGTGTCAAGTCGATCAATTCTAAGGTTAGGTTCTATAAAATAACCATTTATGGTTAATATACTATCAGCAATATTAAAATTGCACCAGGTTTCGGTAATGATAATAATGTCTGGGTTGTTTATCACTACACTTGCACTGAGCTCATCCAATTTACTTTCCAGACTTTGAGCATTAAAATATAATATTTTTAACGTTTGGCTGCTGGCTCCAAGTCCTCCTCCCCGGACTTCATGTTGTCCAGGGTCCTGTTTCTCTTGGTGCTGTTTACTCTCCCTCTGTAGGGTTGCCTGGTGTTGGAATGAATTTTCCTCATCTTCACTAATTTTCTGTGACCTCAAGGTCCCACCATCCTCTATTCCCAGTTTAAAGCCTCATCCTGGTTTAGTTCAGCATTTCTTTTTTCAGCCTCTTTTCTTATGGTATCCTCTTCCTTTCTTTGTCTGGCTGTCAGATCTGGATTTATGTTTATCTCCTTGTTAGAAGAATTAGCAAGAAACCTAGTTTTGCTTAGGACGTAGTCCCTGAACTATGGTCTCTAAATCCTATGAGAAGTGGCCTAACTTTGTTTGGATCTTTACTTTTTTCTCCAATTCTGACACAAAATTTCACATCCTCTTCAAAATTAATGTTTTCACATTTTATCTCCTTCAGAACTTTCATGACTCTCTCAATATCTTTCTCCTTACTTTCTTGAGGATTACGTAGAGAACTAGAAGGTTCCTGCAGCTTGTGTATGATGAGATTGGCTTTCCTATAATCTCTATCCTGAAGTTCTGCAAATACAGCATCTTCCTTATTCTCAGCCAGTGACAACTGTTCCTCAGGAATTTTGTCTAATTTATCTTGGATATCTTTTATATCCTTGGCATTGGTCTCACTCCTTTCCTCGTTCTCCTTTGTTGCCTGCTCAGTAGTTGCAATCCTATCTTCTAACTCAGACAGTTTTTTCTTAAGAGGTAACTACCTGCCTTGCATGATTTACAGGCCCACATGTGACCTCCATTCATAGCTTGCTGATCACATATAAACTTGAAGTTTTCATCTGAGATTCCTGCACATTCCTTATGTATCCATAGCTCACAAAACAAGCAGCGCACTGCTTTAGCATTTTTTGCAACATTCTTGTCGCATTTAATGCAAGGAAACGACATGGTTTTTTAACCGTCAAACAATAACACAAGTGAATTAAACTGTTTCTCCAACTATTTGGCAATCGGAAAGAACCAGGTTTATTTTGAAGAACTTTACACCTCCCCTATGGAACTGGCAAATATTCCGGCGGTGGGCCCCTTGAGGACTGTTAGGTGCAAAGATCAACAAAAAACTAAATAATAATTTTGCACTGAGTGGGCTTTAATTCTGTTATTTCTAACTTTTTCTTCTTCTTTTTTTTTCTGGTTTTCTTTTTTAATGGATTTTCTTTTTTTGTTTTTTTTTCTCACTTCTATATTTTTTTTCAGTTCTTTAGGTGTTTTTTTTATCCTTTTTTGATTTTTTCCCCTGATTTTTTTTCTTTTTAGAGCCTTCTTTTTTTCTTAAAAATCTCAGTGGTGTTAATCACTAGGGTTAGTAGCTTAGGTTTGAATAGTTTTTTGTGTTAGTAATGTTAGTTCTGGATAGTTATTGGTTTAAACTAGTTTTCCCTGTGCTATCTGTTCCAAAGATATAGCTTAAAAACAATAATTTCTCAAAATGTTAGTTCAGGGATTTGTAAAATGTGGTACACCCCATCCTAAGTATGGTGACAAAGCCCAGAACAAATTCAGATCAGCATCTCCAGTCTCTTTCTCTGATCCTCGGTCAGTCTAGGTAAGAAAGCGGCAGAAATAGGTACTTGAATTCAAACCCAGTACATAAAGTGTACCAGAAATTATACCAAGTATTTGGCAATTCTCAGGTTATTCAAAAGTGTCTTTTTTTCACTTAAAAATAAAACCCAAGGTGATTTTTTTTACTTTTAAAGCAGAAAAACAAAAGATAAGCTAAAAGTATCTAATTTCACTTCTTGGCTAAAAGAATAAAAAAAGTGTCTTATTTTCACTTCTAGTTATAAGAAAGTGCCTTATTTTCACTTTAAGTTAAGAGTATTTGGTGTCTTTTTCCAATGATAATGAGTCAATCAGTTCTAAAATTTAATTTGAGGGAGGTTTTTAGGAACTCCTCTCACAACTGCTTCTGTTCTGCAGTCCAATTTATCAATCAATCATCCAGTTTGTCAATAAATGACCTAGATAATCAATACACGATCTGCTTGGTAATCAATTGTTTAGTTTATTGATTAATCATCCGGGTTATTGATCATTCATCCGGTTAATCAATTAATCATCCGTTTTATCAATCAATCATCCAGGTTATCAATCAATCAATATATCAACCATCAAGTTTATCATGAAGTTATCGAGCATCCGGTTTTTGATCAATCAAAATCAAATCAAATCATTCTTTTAGGGACGTCCTACACCCACACACCAAAATTGAAGTGACTATACTAAATCAATATTGAAGTGAGGTCTTACGATTTGTAGTTTTTGCTAATTTCCATCTGGCTATTCCAAATCATCTGGTGTGGTGGAGGAATTTTAGCTTTTTTGAGAACTGGACTCAAAGTTTTATGTCTCGACAATAACAGTGATTTTAACCAATTTTGACATTTTAAATTAGTTTCCAACAATGCTTCTGAGACTTTAACATTTACAGTGAAATATAGATCCCCTAACTCCAGTAAGCAGAACACTGAGAAACTCTGCGATATTATAAACTGTCTAAGTGGAGAAAAGAACATTATTATTGGTAACTTTAACTTTCCTCTTGTAGACTGGACACACAACCTGGTGGACAGTAAAGGTAGATTATTTTTAGAAACACTTGAATCAAACTTTCTCCATCATATGGTTGACTTCCCAACTGATGTTCGCGGAAATATTTTGGACCTTGTAATTGTGAATAATCCTGCTGATGTTATTAATCTTGAGGACGTGGGCAATATCAGTAATAGTGATCATAGTACATTAATCATAGAAATTATGTTTAATAACAACTGTTGTAACTCAAATCAAGAAGTATCAGACTGGAGTAAAGCAAATTATCCTGCACTGGAACAATATTTAAAAGATATTGATTGGAGTTCAACATTTTCCAGTCTGAATACCCAACAGTGCTGGAACTTTTTCAAAGAGACTATTTCCCAAGGAGTTGAACTATTTGTCCCTAAAATCAGAAGGAGAGACAAAAATAAACCCACCTGGATGACTTAAAAAGGTTCTCAAACTTATCCTCAGAAAATTACAGTTATGGAAAGCATATAAAAATAATCGAACAAATAATAACTTTGATAAGTTCAAAGCAGCTGAAAAACAAGCCATAAAAGCAGTACGCAGTGCAAAAAGGTCTTTTGAAAAAAAACTTTCTAGATATGGGAGCAGAAAACCATTTGACTCTTACGTTCGAAACAAAACTAAAGCCAGAATTGGAATTGAACTGCTGAAAAAAACCTGTGGTACAGTTGTCTCTGATAAAAAAGATATGGCTACATTGTTAAATAACACTTTCTGTTCTGTTTTCACAACAGAAAATCTGAATAACATACCAAACCTTGATACACTCCCCTCCAATAGTATAATCTCGGACATCTTATTTACCAGAGGTTAAAACTAAGATCGATAATCTGAAATCTTCAAATTCTGCCAGACCTGATAACCTGTCCTCCAAACTGCTCAAAACTTTCAGTAATGTACTCTCTGAACCGCTGGCCGTGATATTTAATAAATATATGTGAAGTGGAATTGTGCCACAAGATTGGAGAGATGGAAATATCGCACCAATCTTTAAAAAGGGAAGTAAGAAAGAACCAGGAAACTATCGTCCTATCTCTCTTACTTCAATACAATGTAAGGTAATGGAATCCATCATCAAGGATCAAGTTGTTGACCACTTGGTGAATAATAGCCTATTAAATAAATCTCAGCATGGTTTTATGAAACATAAATCGTGTGCAACTTATCTATTAGAGTTCATGGAAAAAATCACGCTAGAGAGTGATAGTAACATTCCTATGGACATAATTTATCTAGACTTCTCAAAAGCATTTGATAAAGTGCCCAAACACCGACTGATCCAAAAGTTAAAAATCTCATAGCATAGAAGGAAATGTACTTTCATGGATTAACAACTGGTTGACAGGAAGAAGGCAAAGGGTGATTATCAATGGAGAACAATCTACCTGGGAGCCTGTACTCTCAGGTGTACCCCAAGGATCAGTACTCAGACCATTAGCTTTTGTGATATTTATCAATGATATAGACACCTTAACCAAACTTATTACAATATTGAGAAAGTTAGCAGATGACACCAAACTCGCTCAATGTATTCTAACAGAGGAAGATTGTGATAATTTAGAGGACTGTCTTAACCTGCTCTGTGAATTGGCAGATCTGTGTGGTATGTCATTTCATGTTGCTAAATGAAAGATTCTTCATGTTGGACATAATAATCCCAAATATGAATACTTTATGAATGGAATTAAGTTATCTGAGGTCAAAATAGAGAAGGATATTGGAGTGAAAGTGTCACATGATTTAAAACCCTCTATCCAGTGCCTAGAAGCTGCTAAAATAGCAAACTATATGCTTGGAACAATCTCATGTGCATTCCATTTTAGAGATTGGCATGTTTTCCTGGACTTGTATAAACAATATGTAAGATGCCATTTAGAGTTTTCTGTCTCAGCATGGTGTCCCTGGACAGCTG